TCAACTGTTTCGTAGAAAATATTCCAAACCTTTCGACAGTTTCTGGAACCATCAGTAGTTCCGTCGATATTTTATGAAACCTTAAAGCCGACCAGAAAGTGTCGAAAAGTTTTGCACAAATAATACCAAACCTTCGGATCGTTAACGGAACCAGCAGTGGTTCCGTCAACATATTACGAAACCTTAAAGCGGACTAGAAATTGTCGGAAAGTTCCGCATAAATAATACCAAACCTTCGGATCCTCTACCAAACCATCAAGTGTTTCGTAGAAAATATTCCAAACCTTTCGACAGCTTCCAGAACCATCAGTAGTTCCGTCGATATTTTACGAAACCTTAAAGCCGATCAGAAAGTGTCGAAAAGTTTTGCACAAATAATACCAAACCTTCGGATCGTTAACGGAACCAGCAGTGGTTTCGTACAAAATATTCGAAACCTTCCTTTCGATAACGAAACCAACAGTGGTTCCGTCGCCATATGACGAAACCTTCTGCCATGGTACGAAACCATCAGAGGATTGGTATGTGATGTACCAAACCACAAACCACTTTACGAAACCTCTGAAGAGTTCCGTCGCAAAATCGCGAAACCTTATGAAATCTGCTGAACTTTAAAAAGTTCTGAAAGGAAACTACGAAACGATTTGCGCTCCGCAGAACCTAAAACAGTTCGGTGCAGAAATGCAGAACTTCTAAGGTTCGGTAGAGTACCGATTTTTTTTAGAGTGTATTGGATAACAAAATGGTCTGCGAAATGGAGTTCTTATAATATCATTTGAATTAAAGCATAAGACATTTATAATATAACTTTCAAGTTGAACTAAATATTTGCTTTCTAAAAATGGTTTTCGACTATATAAGTTTAATGTCCGCTGTTGACATGGTTGATCTAAATTATAATTTGGTGTTACACATTTATAAGTTAATGCATAATGATCATAATCAGTTTTTAATACATATAAAGGTTGATTAAGAATTGTTGCACTAGTAACATCTTGGTTTTCAAAAATCATTTTTGCACCATTATTTGCATAAATTGACCATGTAGTAGGTGACAAACAATTTGGTTGATTAGCTGCTCTTGCTCTAGCGAAAGCGAGAAGATGCTTAGTAACATCATTTTCTAATTGAAATAATTGAATAAAATCTGTATATGCATCAGCTGGATCCAAACCCGCCTCATAAAAATCTATTTCGTACCAAAAACCAAGAAATTTGTATAAATTGAAATTTTGTTCAACAGATAAACTTGAAAATGAAGGTGGACTACATCCTAAAGATGTATGGATTAATAAAAGTAATCCTATTGTTATAAACCAAAACATATTGTTGCGATTGTTTGTTTTTGCATTGAAGTTAAAATAAAATAAGGATACAGAATAATACCAATGTATGTTGCTTACATACAACAAGAGTGAATAATCAGTATTATTTAATCAAATATATTGTTTTCAAAAAACACGTCAATAAAAAAAATAAATGTGATTAATGTCGTTTGTTATTTGTTATCGAACATTAAAAACAAAAAAAGACGATTATCGATTGAAGAGAAAAAAAATATAAACACATAAAAAGTGTAGACTTTTCTTTTGTCATTGAATACTTTATTTTATAATAAATCATCCATATTTTCGTTTCGACTTAATTACATATAGATAAGTGTGTATACAGTATCGATTATTACCAATCATTATTTCATCTTTGACAAACATTTGTTATAATGAATCGACCTGCTCTTAAAATGTAACTTTTTTTCGTAACCCCAGTGTAATTCGAACTACACGTTCGTATTATGATGAGTGTATTATACAATTGAACTTGCAATTATGAACTAGAGTCCTGCAACTATTCTAAAATAATTTTCTGAAACGATTCAAAGAAGTATAAGTCATTTCGTTATTATGTTATTCGACTATATATTTTTGTATAGAAATGTTTTCTCTTCAAAGCCATAGATTTACAAACACAAAAAAAGCTTCTTGGTATGAAGATTTTTTCTATTAAAATACAACGGTTCCAAATTCGAAATCGAAAAATATGGAACCGGTTTATTTGAATAGAAAAAATCTTCACATCAGATGGCATAGTCAATAATATTCTAATTCTTCCATAAATAACAGATGCATAGTGTTACAGGAGATGAGGTTATATGCATACAATTGACTCTGTTCCAAGCAATCTAGGCTCTAAGAAAAAGGATTACTATCGATTCGGTATACAATTAAGTTCTTAAAAAAGATCAAATTTCTTATATGCATATTGATAATGTTGTTTCTTACTTTTAGAAATCATAGACCAATACTCATAATATACGAGAAAAGGTCGTAAATTTGAACTTATATCAGAGATATATGAATTTAAGTGAAACTATAAAGTGACTCCTTTAATCTTTGCGTTTTTATTCATATTGATTTAGATAAAAGATAGAAGAGTTTTACCTAATGAAAAAGATAGATTCACCGAC